TTGATAATATCTTCATGAAAAATTGAAATTGTAAATGATTCGGGATATTAGATTCATTTTCGAATAATATTTTTGTCAGAATTAAATCGTTTATTAAATGCTTTGTTTTAACTTGAAAATCTTGCTTTTTGAACTGATTCTTGAACTTGATAACCAATATTATCACCAGTAGCATATTGAATTTCTGCTAATGAAAATGTTTTAATAACTCTACCCATCTTCCGTTTAGCTTTATCAATTCTTTGTGTGATATCTCTAAATCTTTTGGTTAAAGCTTCCGATTTTCTTTTTAATAATGAATGAACCTTGTTGAGCTCCGTTTAATTTACCCTTCATAAGACCTCAAGTCATACGAGTAGGAAACACTTGTTCACGATTACCAGCACCTGACATCTTGAATTGTTGTTTACTTTATGAGATGTATTGGGAAGTGTAGATGTCTATTGGAATTGCAATTGATTGAGTGATATCAACACAATCGATAATGGGTTTGAACGATGAATTGAAATTTAATTGTAATTTGTTGGAATAAATACGTTATATCTGGCGCTACCAACCCTTCATTTAAAATCTTTCAGATCGTGTGTCGCCCAATTTTACGACAATAAGACTCAAACAAGGTAAACAATTTAGAGATAGATCTTCTATTGCAAACACTTCAGCCCATGAGCCTTCTTGGTATATCAAGACACACTCCAAGTTCTGCAACAACTCAGCCCCTACTTTTTCCTTGTTGGTAATTAAAAAACAGCAGCTCTCCCAAAGCGACCAGTCACACTTTATCTGACTGCAATATCCAAGATTGCTGAGAATAAGACGATCATTCCAAGATGCCTAGTCAAGTAATGCAACACATGGAATATTCAATGGGAAATGGATGATATTCAGATGGAAAATAATGTACAATTTGCATTCCAATTCTGTTATTTAAGCTTCAAAGTAAGTAATTTCTGATTGATAAAATATTCTTAGGAAGAAAAATGGTTGCAATTTTTAGAAGTAATTAAATATAAATTCTCGATTGCGAAAAAACAAAAGAACTTCAATTTTATTTGTACACTTTTCTTGTTCACTTTACAACAAATAGATCAAACACTACAAATTTAACAATAATGCCTTTTCAAATCTTTTCAAAGAATTCACAAAAATCTTCTGATTCAAAATCATCATTATTATCCAAGACAGAATTCAACAAACTTGAGAAGAACTTGAAGACTCTTTATTTCACTGGATTATTCCAGAAAAACCAGGCAACCGCCAGGTTCATTGCCAAATACCAAAAGGCAAAATTAAATTCCTCCTATCCAATGTCAATGAATGAATTCTTGAAATCCATTTATAACGAGACACCCCAAAATGAGATACCCGAGCAAATTCACAAATTGTTCGTTCAAATTGCCATGAATGAAGACATAGAAAGCCACAATCCTGTTCCCGCTGACAATACAAATAAATCATCAATCGAATTGGAATCATCTTTTGACAATACCGTCACTGTTAACAATGCTTCAACATCTGCCACTACTGTTGCTGATGAAACCACCTGTACTCCTGTTGTTCCTGATGTTGTTTTTGCTGAAACCACCTGTACTGTTGTTGTTCCTGATGTTGTTTTTGCTGAACCTACCACTACTGTTGTTGTTCCTGATGCTGTTGTTGCTGCTCCTGTTGTTATTCCTGCTGCTGCTGCTCCCACTGCTACAACCACTAGTATTCCTCCTATTGCTGCTACTACTGCCACCAAAACAATTTTGCTGTCATCTGATACAATTTTATTTTCAGCGGACGATGAGGACCCAGAAGAAGAAGAAGAATTCGAGTTTCACGCCATACAAAATACCACAACTTCATTTAAGTCTAAACTTTTTAACACCTGGTACAAAACCAAAATTCGTTCCAAGGCGTTTAGAATCAAGAGTGTCAAACAAATCAAGAAATTGTTCACGTTCTTTT